TATATATATATATATATATATATATATATATATATATGTGTGTGTGTTATATAAAATTAAAAAATGTACAAAATATGAGATGCGATGTGATGCTATGTGGTTTGAACCACGGTTTGATAACTCAAAACCGCAAACCGCAAACCCCACCGTATAGTGCGGTTTGTTAAAAAATGCAAACCACAAACCGCACTGAGAAAGTTCTAAACCATGCTTTGTGGTGTGAGTGGTTTGGATGAACACCCTTGTTCTTGAATGCAACGTTTAGATTTGCTATCAATCAGGCAATCTAAAAGTGACACTTTTAAGGAAGATGCACAATGGTTGGTTTAGATTGCTATCAATGTGGCTTCACATGATTACGTTTTGTGTACTATATCCCTAATAGGGAGATGAAGGAAGTAGTGTCAAAATGTACATCATCATCACTAAGATAAATGGAAGCAGAACTTATAATGTTTACAATTATTGTCTGCTGAATCATAAAGAAGAGATTCTACAAGGGCTTAAACTCAATGCCTTGCACAACAAGCCGAATGTCTTGCACAATAAGCCCTTTAAGTGGCCAAAAACACAAAGGGGCACTTCTCAGCTCAAAGTGCATCGAAATCATTTCAATGAATGTACCAGTTTGAAATTCCCATATTTGAACTTCCATCCAACCATCGTTCCTCAATCGTGGAAGGACTTTGACTGTAGGTATATTCGATGGGTTGTGGGTGTTTTGACCATCCTTTGCATTGATAACTCGGGTTTGAGGACTAAGTAGATAGATATACCACAAACTAGCCAAATGACGATCACTTAAACCATGTCTTTTATCTACCACTTGCAAAGGAGGCACAAACTCGGAGTGGTTTGTTGTTATTTTATAGACAAGGTAACAAGCATAAACTGATTGAGGAGACAGTATTTGGGATCTGATTTTGCAGATAATACTAAATTGGATAGCACAATTAAGAGCCACTTCTTTGAATCTGCAAAAAAAAAAGGAAAAAGAACTCCGTTAGTGTAATAATTAGAATTGGATGTGTATTTAGATCATACAAAAGTCGGATTTTGCCAAAGTCTACGAGGAAAGAGTGTGTGGGAGGTAGAGAGATAACCTTGATTCGGGTAGAGGCTCCCATTCCCAGTCGGATTTTACCAAAGTCGCTCTTGCTGATAGCATTGGACATTTCTTCCCATTTTTTGATAGAGAAAACCACTGTCAATCAATAGATGTGTAAGTACTCTTATAGCAATTCCAGAATCCTTTTTAAACCAGCAGACCGATCCATGTTCATGGTCATTTGTTTAAAAGATGATAGAAATGAATCATTGCATATCGGATGTACCTCGTCGCCATTATTGATCAGGAATCCATTCCCTTTACTAATAAGGAAGCCCTTGCAAAAAAGACGATAGAGTTCCTGTGTTGTTGTCCATTTGGTAGTATCTTTTGACCACTTGATTATTTGTTTATAATCATTTGGCAACTTTTGTTCCCAATATGCATCAGAATCTGATGTTGGTTGCATATCCACCTTCTCATCCTCTAACACTTCATCTCCCACCTATAAAAAACAATACCCATATTGAATTTTTGATCAATATGGAAGAAACTCCCATCCTCCAAATGCCATATCGCCTCTCTTACGTTGTGTTCTTGAATTTTGAAAAAAAACTGGAAAAGAAAAGAACATTTTTTGTCTGTTCTTCAAAGAGATGGGAAAAACGAAGGGGCGAAATGATTTTTCATATTCTAAAACACCAAAAACAACAATTTGAAAATGATGTATACATACACACACATATACATATAGGTGTGAGAAGGAAAGTTAAGATGGGAAGCGTAAGAAGAGATCTAGACTCTTTCATCACCTTTAATCTCAAACCCACCCATGACTTATGCTTGATACAAGGATTGACTCAGTGCTTCTCATCCTAATGTGCATCCAAAGATGGAGATCCTTCTTACGCTTCTCACCTTAACTCTCTTTCTCACAAGAACCCAACACTATATATATATATACATATATATTTGTCAACTTACTTTGTCCAGGGGAAGAAACTCGATGCCTTCTATTATGATTTTTAAACGTGTGCGGTCAAGATCATACATTAGGCTCTCAAACCCAATGTCAAGGTCAAAACGTGTACTATTGCTAGTAAAATGATACAATTCAACCGTCATCCATCCATTTTCTCTCCCATAAGCAAGGTATGAAATTGAAGATTCCATCTCATCTCCCAATTGGTACTTGAGTTCGAAAAATGTGGGTTCCCTCGAGTTCTGCAATGGTGAGAAGAACTTGAACACAAGGTTTACTTTGTACATGATACCCGGCGACAAGAATTTAGTTGTGGCATGTATTTTGAATCTCCCACTATATGGTATATAGTTACCTTGTACAAATCTGACATCACGAAGCAAAGAAGAATATTACTGTCGTCGTCCAAAAGTAACTGTCCACGATATAAATGCACACATTTTAAGAAATATGTAGCTGATACACTTGTTAATTAACTAGATGGAAATTTTACTTACAAAAATGGAGGGACTTCTCCATCTCGTAATTAAAGGGAGAATTGGTATTTTAAAAAAAGGTCGCTTAATTTGAGACAAACTAAAATAACAAAATGTTACGACATTTATTTGGAACGAATGGAGTTAATAACTATATACTTACGAATTACTCCCAAAAACATAAAAACAAAAGCGTCGAAGAGGAGGACAACATACCTTGAATTCTTTTTAGACGTATATTCATTTCCACCTGACTTCAAACATTCTCTTGCGGATATCAATTCACAATGTTCACCATTCCGATTTCTTGAAAACCACTAGCAGTAAAATAACTACAAATTAGTTTGAAGCGTGTCTATATGTCTATATTTCGGTTAGTAAACAGGGATTTATAACATTAATTACCGTTTTTCCATCATTAACGAGGATCCCTTCTGAAAGAAGCCTCTTTAGTTCCTCTTCAGATCTAAAGATTAGAGGAGTTAATGCAGTCTTGATTATTGCACTATATTCCTTTGGCAGTTCCATCACTTCATAAATCTCTTGAAATTGAAGTGCAATCTTAAGTTTTTCCACGACATGAGCCACTGGTGGCCGTTGTTTAGGATCTTTCTGCAAACATTGATATGCAATGTCTGAAAATGTTTCCAAAGAACTCACATCCATTTGTTGCATCATATCTTGAAAGATTATCTCATCTAAGTTACTTTCTTTATATTTTTGTTTCCACAATCGCACTAAAGTCTGACACTGACCATTTCTATATTCGAAGCATAATCTACCACACAATGCTTCAAACAAGACCACGCCAAAGGAGTATACGTCCGACTCTTTGGTTAGCACGCCTTTCTCGAGATACAAGGGGTCTAGGTACCCAATGGTACCTACAACATTAGAGACAACAGCCGTGTGTTGCTGATTAGCAGGGCCTATTTTCGACAACCCAAAATCAGAAACTTTAGCATTCCAATTCTCATCAAGTAAGATGTTGGAGCTYTTAATATCACGGTGAAGCACTCTTTGTTGTGTCCCCATGGGATCATGWAGGTAGCTTAGTCCCTTTGCRACCCCAAGGCATATCTTAAGMCGTTGCATCCATGTGAGAGTAGYGGCACTCAAATGGCGATCAAGGCTTCCACGTGATGCATACTCGTACACAAGAATCTTGTCAGCACCCTCATCGCAAAATCCCAAAAGAGAGACGAGATTTTCATGTGTGTAACGGGAAAGCATCATGATCTCCTTCCAGAACTCTGAGTTTCCTTGACCATATCTACTATCTAGACGCTTAAAAGCAACCATTCTTCGGCCGTTAGTGTGAGAGATTTCTCCTTTGTACACCTTCCCAAATCCACCTTTTCCGATAGCTTTGTCATCGGCAAAGTTGTCGGTGGCTGATTTTATTTCTTCCAGTTGGATTTTAAGATGCTGAAACTCATCGAAGAAGAAAGCCATCAACGGTTGATAAGTGATAATGGGAGCAATTGTACCAACCCAAAGCATATATTGAAGTCCTCTATTTGTTCTTCTTTATGGCTTTGAGCTTCGAGGGAGGGAGTTCACTGTTGATGGTCTTCGTGGTTCGTCGGAGGAAGAGCTTCTGATCGAGGGAAGGAGGGGGTCTAGGGTTTGCAGGGAATTGTTGATTCCGAAAAGACTACAAGTTTTTTAGCCTCTATTGAAAGTAGACGTATTCAATGAGTGTAAAGGATGGAATTATTAAAGTTGGAATTTGGTTATCAATTTGATATTTGTGACATAGATTGCCAAATGGGCCCGGTTGAGAACCATCGTTATGGTTTTTATTTAAAAATAAGGCTCGGTTTTAGGACCGGTTTATTTTTTAAATAAAATTTTATTTTTAAATGTATTTCTAGCTTTTGAAATGTATTTGATTGAAAATCAAATTATGAATTACAATAAAACATATTTTTTAAATGTATTTGATTGAAAATTAATTATAAAATTATAATAAAACATAATTTTTAAGTACATTTGATTGAAAATTAATTATAAAACTACAATAAAACGTATTTTTTTAAGTATATTTGATTGGCCTAATTAGATATCTTAAAATTAACATTAAAGTATTTCTAAAAATTTAACAAAAAGAAATTTTAAAAAATTATATAAAAAGAAAATGTTTTTTTAATATAAAACCGGTTAGAGACCAGTTCCGGATTATTACTGTTTCAGCACAGGACCAATTTGGACTCGACCCGATCCAAAACCGGTTTTTGGCCAAGTTTATTTGTGACAAATGATTTTATTTTCAATATTGAGCCATTAGATCTCATCCATTACGGTAATCTTTTAGCAATTTCTTTAAACGATTTTGTAAGTGACATCTAAGATTTCTTAAAGAATTTGGCTGTGAATATGATTTTTAATAGAAAGTTGGTTTTTTATAATTGTTAATATAACATCAGTACTTTTTGTTGATATGATAATAAATAATATAAGAAATCGTAAGATATAAAAAATTAATTTATGTCACATTATGTTTTTTTATGTTTATAAAAAATATATAAATAGTTTAGTAAATAAGATTTTGATTATAAAAAAATATAAATAACGTAATCATTTATTAATATTGATATAACTTTTCTTTAGTTTATTATATTTAAATTTAATATTATGTTCGATTTTTTTTCATTTATATATTAACGATTATAAAAAATGTAAAATTTAATTTGTATTAACATACAATAAAAATATATTATATAACAAAGATACAGATTTAACACGAATAAAATTACCCATGAGCTTCTTCTAATTCAGTATCAAACGATAACAACCTACAAGAAAAGAAACATAGATGGACTTCATGAGGCTCTTTGAAAGCAAATCTTGGTCAAGTCCAAATAAAATGTCAGAACAATTTTGTAAACGAAAATTACTCTTCATCGTTAACCAAATGTATATGCCAATCAACCACAAGGGTGGTGTTTGATTGGTTTGAGTTTGACTCCAAAGATCAAAAGTACTTGTAGGTCTTAGGTTCAAATCAAAGGAGGAATAAAAATCTCCTTGTGGTCATGGAGGTTCAAATGGGTGACTCCGGGCTATCTGCAAAGCAGATGGTCGCCATGGGATTAGTCGGCTCGCATAGCGGGTTGGATATCTAGGTTAATAAAAAAATGTATATGCCAATCTTATATAAAGCTAAAGATTAGTAGATAGAAGCATAAAATACAATTACCCTTAGAACACCAACGTCAATCGCAAGTGCATATGAACAAACGTACATTATGTGTTTAATACGTGTACATGTATGCATCCACATATACACAAGTTCCTCTACTTCGTAAATCTCTTGAAATTGAAGTGCAATCTTAAATTCTTCCACAACATGAGCCATCAATGGCCATTGTTCACGCGATTTCTGAAAAGCATTGATATGAAATGTTTGCACATAACTCACATCCATTTGTTGCATCAAATCTTGAAAGATAATCTCATCTAATTTATTTTGTTTATAGTTTTGTTTCCACTAATGCACTAGAGTTTTGACATTGACCATTGCTATACTCATTGCATAATATGCCACATAATGCTTCAAATAATACCACAACAAAAGAGTATACATCTAAATCTTTTGTTAGTACACCATACAGTGGCGGATCCAGTGTGTAAAAGGGGGGGGGGGGGGAGAGGCCCCCAGTCAAAAACTCAAATTTTTTTTACCTAGGTTAAAAATGGGGATTTTACATTTCATACTTTCACTTCCCCCCATTAGATTTTTCAAGAGGTCCCCACCTTGCCAGCGATTTAAGATTTACCGTCCTCCTCCGGCACTCTTCTCCAGGCTATCAACCAGAAAACAAAAACCGCATCGTTGGAGAAAAGAAGGGGCACAATTACTGCTTGTTCTTACATACGGTTAGTATTTGGTTACTGCTTCCTGTTCATTACTGCTTCATGATTCATCTGCCACTGTTTTGTGCTTCATCTGCTTCATTTTGCTTACGGTTACTGCTCTAGTGCTCTGCATTTGCTTCATTTTGCTTCATTTTGCTTCTGCTTCTTGCTGCTTGTCTTATGAATCGGTTGAGGCTTTTTAATTTTTGGGTAAAGTTAGTGTGTAAGAAGTAGGTAGAAGATTGGAGGACAAACAGGTAGACTGGAGTGGGTTTTGTTGAGGCTTCTTAATTTATTAATATTTAATAGGTAGAAGATTGGAGTAGAGGACAAACAGGTAGAAGATTGAGGACAAAACAGTAGTGAGTAGGTAGAAGATTTGAGTGGGGTTGTTAGTTTACTATTTAATTTGTGTGTACAATGTGTTATATATATATATATATATATATATATATATATATATAATGCATTTGCTAATATTTAATAGGTAGAGTGGGTTTAAGCCGAACAACGAATAACCTGAAACCGTCTAAGTTAGGATGCGTTGTTCGGTTTGGAATTTTTTTACACCCTTGAGTGTGCCCCCAATCACAAAAATTTCTAGATCTGCCACTAACGCCATACTCCACATACAGGGGGTCTAGGTACCCAAAGGTACCTACAACGTCAGAGACAACAGTTGTGTGTTGCTTATTGCAGGGCGTACTTTGGACAACCCAAAATAAGAAACTTTAGCATTTCAATTCTCATCGAGTAAGATATTGGAGCTTTTTATCACGATGAAGCACTCTTTGTTGTGTCCCCATGGGATCATGAAGGTAGCTTAGTCTTTTGAGACCCCAAAGCATATCTTAATGTTACATCCATCTAAGAGTAGTAGCACTTAAATGGCGATCAAGGCTTCCACAAGATGCATACTCGTACACAAGAATCTTGCCACCACCCTCATTGCAAAATCCCAAAAGAAATACGAGATTTTCATGTGTATAACAGGAAAGCATCATGATCTCCTTCCAGAACTCGGAGTTTCCTTGGTCATATCTACTATCTAGATGCTTAAAAGCAACCATGATTCGCCGTGTTGAGTGAGCGATTTCTCCTTTGTACACCTTAAGAACTTGTGGTCCCAAAATATTATATAAATTTATTGTAACACTTTTATGTGCAAGTCTTATAAAACATTGTATCTTAATAATTAAACGTTTTTAATATTTTATAAAACCAATTTTATTACTTAAAAAGGATGGCTATTGTCTTGTTAGAGTCAACCCTATATTATTTTTTATCACTAAAAGGGTATTCATGCAATACAGCGAGATATATCTTAATTTTAATATTTTATTTTATTTTTTTATCTCAATCGATGTTATAATATGGTCTTATGTGATTTTGAAAAAACAATGATGTTTTTATTTTTGAATAAAATATAAATTTGAAGATATCATAAAAATTTGACAAAACTATATCGATATTAGTATCAAATTAACTGTTTAAAAGTCCTTATTTTTGTGTAATTTTTTAATTCAATTTTTTTAATTGTAATTTAACTTAAGTTCAATAACGAAGTAATTTATATTTGGTTTAGTAATATAATTTTCTTATAAAGATAATAGTTAATTATTTTGTTAGAACTCGATAATTATCTTATAAAGATAATAGTTAATTATTTTGTTAGAACTCGATAATTATCTTAATTATGTTTTAGATTTTTTATATTTTAAAATGAGATGTTTATCCTCTATCTGATTATGTTTATTCGCAGTTAGTTACACGAATTCAAATATGGAGCTTTAATAAGTTGTACTTATGCATAATTTACTTGTAATCTTGAATTTTTAGTAATATGCATCCATATACAATACTTCATGTATAAAAAATGGTTTTTAAGAGTTTTTGTCAAATGTTTTATAATATAATATGTACATAATTATTCAAACAAGTTGTTGATGGTGATCATATTTGACCAAGACATACGTTCCAGATACGGCATTGAATAATCAAATGTATTTGAAAAGGACAAATTGCTCTATGAATTATAAATAATGCTGATATAATTAATATTTGATAAGACTAGAAGGGTACTCGTGTAATGCAGCGAGATACATCTTGATTTTAATATTTTTTTAATTTTTTGTCTCTATCAATGTTGTAATACGGTTTTATGAGGTATTGAGAAAGCAATAATGTTTTTTTTAATAAGATATAAATTTAAAGATATCATAAAACTTTGAAAAAAATATCGTATCAAATTAACTATTTAAAAGTTATTTTTTTGTGTAATTCTTTTAATTCAATGTTTTTTTTATTATAACTTAATTTAGGTTTGATAAAGAAGTAATTTATTTTTGGTTTAATAGTATAATTTTTTATAAAGATAATAATTAAGTATTTTGTTAGAATGATTATCCTAATTATATTTTAGATTTTTTTATGTTTAAAATGAGATGTTTATCATGTTACAATTATGTGCATCTGTTGTTAGTTACACAAATTCAAACATGAAGTTTAATAAATTGTACTTACGCACAGAAAGAAAGTAGCATGTGATAAAGTAGCATTGATAGATGAACCAAGAGAATAGATGAAATGTCTGGATTCCACTTTCATATGAGTATTAACCCCTGATCATTATGTCTGTTATCACAAAGAAGAACATTTTTTTCATCGATGCATACGCTTCATTACAAAAATTAACCCTAGGAATTGAATCTTGAATAACAAACAAAAGATTGAAAAAAAACAAGGAAACAAACCTTGAAAGATGTTGACTCTGTTTGAATTAAAAAAAATATCGCAGAGGACACATACAGCGTAAATAACTGAAATCGAAAACAAAAACAAAAGATTGAAGGAAACTAACCTTAGAAGCTTGGAATCTGTCTGTATCCTGAAGAACATGCTTCAAATATATATGAGTAGAGGATATGATAGAAATGAAAAACGATATGTATATCCGTCTAAATCTGTTGAATCGTTGCCTGATGAAGGTTATCTAAACCTGCTGAAATATTATAAGATCATGTTCAAACAAAAAGACAGTTAATTTATAAAAATACATAAAGAATCAAGATTGCATGTGGTACAAACACGTAATCATATATGATATAACACATGTTGTATTGACCAACGTATGATGGATGACTTTTGGTCGCATTCACAAAGTAACTTGCATCCTTTCAATTACTTCTCTGTCATCTTGTGTCGAATTAGAGGAATACAAACGATATCATTACCATAATTGGTGTTTATCTATACTATATTATAAAGCATTTGATAAAAACTCTTAAAAACCATTTTTTATGCGTACAATACTGTTTAATAGTGCATATTATTTAAAACTCAATATTGCAAGTAAATTGTGTGTAAGTACACTTATTAAAGCTCTATGTCTGAATTCGTGTAACTTACTGCAGATAAACATAAACAAATACAAGATAATCATCTTATTTTAAATATAAAAAACCTAAAATATAATTACGATAATTATTGATATCTAACAGAATACTTAATTATTATTTTTATAAAATGTTATATTATTAAAACAAAAATAAATTATTTTGTTATTAAACTTAAATTAAATTATAATAAAAAAATAAATTAAAAAAATTACATAAAAAATGAGGACTTTTAAATAGTTGATTTGATATTAACGTTGATATATATATTTAAAATTTTTATGATATTTTCAAATTTATATTTTATTTAAAAATAAAATTATTATTATTTTTTTAAAATACATAAAATTATATTATAATATAACAAAAACAAATAATAAAAATAAAATATTAAAAAATCGAGATATATCTTGTTACACTACATGAGTGATGTTATAGTAACCTTAAAATAAACGTTTCTTGATTGTGCATATGGGTAGGGCACCCAAAGCTACAAAAAAAAGCTTCAAATAGTCCTTTTGCCCCTTCAACTTTAAATATGTTTCCTTTTCTCTACCTTATACTTTCAGAATTACCATGTTTAACCCTTGGACTTTTGTAAGGAAAATTGACGGAGTCAGCAAGTGCTAGATCTGCTATGTATATGCTGTCAAATATGTTTCTAAAGTAAAAAGAAAAAAGAAAAAAAGGGTCATCAAAACATGACCTAACTTTGAAGTTAAATATTCTGTTATTGCACAACTTTTATATGTAATTATTTGTGTTTTGTGCATAACTTTTGTATGTTTTTGGATATCTAATTGAAGGTGAAGGACTGTGTGAAATGAGAGTTAAGGTGAGAAATGTAAAAAATGATCTAGATTCTTGATCACTTTTAATCTCAAACTCACTCACGAATTGCGTTTGATACGGGGATTGATCCGTTGCATCTCATCTCGGTCCATCTCATCCTAAAGTGCATCCAAGAATGGAGATCCATGCTTCTCACCAGAACCAAACCCTCTAATTGAATTGGTATATATTCCTTGCCTTTTATTGGATCTATTTACAGGATTATTTATTCAGTTAAAAATTCAAGGATTTACTCATCCAAAAAAAATACCGACTTGATTGCTTAGGGTATGAAAAATTTGTCGATTTCTTTTGAAATTTTACCATGATTTTACCACATAAACCAGCTTTTTTAGTTCAAAATGATGTATTTAATCAGTTTTAAAAAGTCCAAAATTTTATTTATTCAAAAAATTGTCGGAAACCCTAATAATTTCTAGATTTTCCTCTTTTAATTTTAAGAGATCATACACTCTGAGCAAATGCAAGTGTAGACATGATTACGCACAAAACTTAGAAGGCTCGACACTCTCACAAATTTGCAAATCACATTCACTTGGATATCAGCTAACAATTATATTTCTTTCCTTTCCACAACCATATCTTAGTTGCATATTATTATACTAGTTGTGTACCCGTACAATGCAACGAGATGTAAGATCCGAATAACCGTTAGCAAAAATGCATTGTATAATATGTTTTAAATAAACAACATTCAATTAAAATACATTCATGTCCGTACTTTTAGTAATATATAAATTTGAGAATTCTTAAATTAGAGTCCCTCAAGACTACTAAGACTTTTTTGATTGTTTTCTAGGACCCTGGGATTGGTCGAAGTGGTCCAAACACCCATCGTTAATTAAAAAAAAAACAAGGTGTTCGAACAACAATTGATCCAAACAATTTTGGGAGATGCCATACTTGTTGGAAATACGTTGTTAATTAGATGAACAACCTGAGCAAGACACCACAAAAATATTGGAGGCTTTATGGGATGTCAAATACGTCTAAATTTAATATTATATGCCTTACATAACTCATGTTTATAGCATTAAACAATTGTGTGTCATATATAAAGTGTTATAATAAGTTGATACGACATTTTTGGCATCCTAACAAGCTTTTCTAGAACACGTTTTGAAATTAACTGTCCTATTAGTCTTTCTTTTTATGTTATTTGAAATTTTTCTTGTAAAAACAAATATTCTGTAAACATGTGTTAATATAATATTTTCTTGAAATTGATACAAAAAGTAATTAAATATGACATTTTATTTCAAATGTGTGTCCTAAAAACCTGTTTGGGCTCCTTAAAACGTCATATCAATTTATTATTACACCTTACAAAAGATACAATTGTTTGGTCATATTAATATAAATCATATAAAACAATCTATTAAAACATTTAACGTTGTTTTTATTTAATTGATGTTTTCAAACTTTAGGACCGTTACAAAATTTGGTTATAGTAAAATATGACGTTAGCATTTTAATGATGTCTAATTTAATGCACATAAAGTCAGCATGCATAGACAGTTATAAACCCGCCATGTGGTATAATATTGCAATTAAGGGGTTGTTCGGTTGTGACTTAATGGGTTGTATAGCCTATATGGCTTATCCGCTCAACCATAACTAGCCGTTCAGTTGTGGCTTATTCAGTCGGTCAATGACTTTATCATTCAAGTGGTAACACACACTCATGTAAAGTCAGCCATTTAATTTTCCATTAATTTCCCAACTACCCTCCAATCTCTCATCTTCAACCTCTGGTCCATCTTGATCAACCTACCTAGTTCATGATCTGCACTCCTTCCATCTCCATTCTTTCCACCTTCAACTCAGTTCATGATATGCACTCCTTCCATCTCGACCTACTTCACGCCAGACTCCTGTCACCATCTCCAATGGCCTAAAACTCAAATGTCCTTTGGTCATCTTCTTCAGACTATTTCAAAATCCAATCAAAATCAAGCCTAAAATCCAAATCTAAAATCAAATTCAAAACCTAACCCGAATTTTAAACATACCCAACCATATGTTCCATGCTCTTTGTTTGACCAAGCAGCACTTAGAGAACAGAGAAAATAGAGGTAAAAGATTCGACTAATCAGCAGCACCCAAAAAACGAAGAAACCGTCTACACCACCAAATCCAATCAAGAGGTCTAGATAATGGCTTCCAACTATGACGATTGTTATGTGGGTGTGGTTTGCCTGGAAATCAAATGGTAGTGGTAGGGTCACCTTACCTGTAATTTAGAAAAGGGGAGAGGGGGTTCTTATGTATTTTAGGATATAAGGTGTTTGATGAAATGTTGTAGAGAGATGTGGTTTCTATTTAAAAAAATGTGTAATTTGATTTTTTTTAATCATTAAAAGCTATTTATTCAATATTTTAATCAAAATGTGATTTGATTCAACAAAAATATAAACTCGGAATAAAATGATCATTTTTGACATTCAGACTGTTTATTCAGCACAACAACCATACAACAACTTATTTGTTATCATACAGACAACTTTATCCATACATGTCTTAATAAAAATCGAACCGAACAGCCCCTAAGACCGTAAACAACTTAATAAACAACTAGATATATCATTATTAACAAATTGTTTTAATTGTAATGAAAAAATATGTTCCATCACCTTCCCGTCCCACCAATCACATGAAGACGCATCACTAATTATTTGATGTAAAATGAATTTACATAATTGATCTTTTTATTCTGGTGTGGCATCACGTGATTGGTGGGCACAACAAATTTGTATCCGATTGCAATTACATTTACGAGGCCCTTCTCTACCATGCCAGAGGTAAACTTATGGTTTGTATTCCGAATAGCGAGATGACAAAAGTAGTGTCAAAAATAGAATTATGGGGGAGTTGAGTTCGAATTTACTTCATCACTAAAGATACAATGGAAACAAACTTACTGTGTTTCAATCAATTTATGCTCAATCATAAAGGAGATTCTATAAGGGCTTAAACAATAAGCCCATCAAACAGGAAAGTATCACTGGTACTGGTAAACAAATGAAAGTACCTGTACTAAATTTCCATACTACAACTTCCATCCAACCATCGTTCCTCAGTTGTGTCAGAAGGCCTTTGACTTTGGATATATCCGGTGGATTGTGGGTGTTTTGACCATCCTTTGGATTGATAACTCGGGTTTGAGGACCAAGTAAATAGACATGCCAATGACCAAGACCACTTGAATGGATTCTTTTATCTACCATACCACTCGCAGAGGAAGGACAAAGTCGGTGTGGTTTTCAGTTAGTTTGTAGATAAGCTAACATGCATAAGTTGATTGAGGAGACGGTATTTGGGATCTGATTTTGCCAATAATTCTAACATGAGGATATGTTGAAGTTTTCTGAAACAGAGAAAAGCTTCCATTAGATCTTTCTCATCTTGTGTCGGAATAGAGAAACACAAATGGTATCACAACAATAATTGATGCTTATAACCTTAAACAACATATGTGAGTTGATCGCAAATAGGGATGTGTAGAATGTTGTTGGCTTCAATTAAAACTGATTCTTCATAATCGGATATTCAACTGTAATTGGGTCGGATCTGATTCAAAATATCAACATCCGGATGATTGGATGATGGTCCTAAATCCAATAAAAATGAACCGACCCAATACAATGACCATCCAAATACTTATAATCTATGGGGGTGTCGAAACAAAGCATTTACATATAAAAATTAAATTTATAAAATAGGAAGTATTTGTCTTTTTGAAAATTTATGACATCCACCTCCGGCAACACGTGTCCGTGACCTAAAAATCTTAGTGCACGGTGCAAATAAATTATACGAAAGTCAGGTTTTACCAAAGTGAGCAGGGAGGAAGCAGTGTGGGAGAAAGAAATAGAACCTTGATTCGGGTAGATGTTTCCAATCCCAGTCGGATTTTACCAAAGTCTTTCTTGCCGGAAGCGTAACACATTTCTTGCCATTTTTTGCAAGAGAAAACCACTGTCAATCAATAAACGTGTAAGTACTTCTATAGCAATTTCATTATCCTTCTTGAATTAGCAGAACAACGTTCATAGCACCTTCTCATCCTTTAACACATCATGTTCCACCTATAAAACAATACCCATATTGTGTTCTAGAATATTGAAAGAAAACTAGAAAAGAGAAGAAATGAAATGGTAAGGAAAAGAAAAGGAGTTCTTTTTGTGTGTTCTTCAAGGGTGCGTATGGTACACAACGCATTAGGAGTAAATTGGTCATTTTATCTGTTCAGTCATGTCCAATTTTGTATGTTCTGTTCTTTCATGTTCTATCCTGTCCGGATACCAAATGCACCCCAAAAGAAAGAGAAGAGTAGGAAAGGGGAAAGAATTATTTTTCATATTTTGAAACACTAAAAACAACATTATGAAAATAATGTATACATATATATACACAAGTATCTGTCAGCTTACTTTCTCCAGGGGCCGAAACTCGATGCCTTCTATTATGATGTTTGGATGTATGGGATCAGCATCATACATTAGGCTCTCAAACCGAATATTAAGGTCTATATGTGTACTACCGCTTGTAAACTGATACAATTCAACCGCCAACCATCCATTTTCTCTCGGATAAGCAAGGTACGAAATTAAAGATTCCGTCTCCTCTCCCAATTGGTACTTGAGTTTGATAAATGTGGAATCCCTTGAGATTTGCAATGGTGAACACTTGAACACAAGATTGACTGTGTACATGATTCCCGGCGACAAGAATCGAGTTCTCGCATGTGCTATGAATCTCCCACGATATGTTTGATAGTTAACTTGTACAAATCTGACATCATGAAGCAAAGAACAATATTATTGTCTCCGTCCCAAAATAAGAGTCCACGATAACAAATGCACACATTTTAAGAAATATGTAGTTAGTACATTTTTTAATTAACTAGATGATAATTTTACTTACAATAACAGGGGATTAATTTTCTCCATCTCATAATTAGGGTCGAATTGGAAAATAGACATTTACTTTAAGAAATGGACACTTAATTTGAAACAAACTAAAATAAAACATATAGACATTTATTTTGGAACGAATAGAGTTAATAACTATATACTTAGAACTACTCCCAGAAGCCTAAAAACAAAAGTGTGGAAGAGGAGGACAACATACCTTGAATTCTTTCCAGGCATATATTCACCTACTTCACCATTCTTATTTCTTGAAAACCACTGGCAGTTAAATAACTACAAATTAGTTCAACGTGTGTGTATGTTTTGGTTAGTAAATTGGGATTTATAGCATTCTAGAGACCACAATTTACCACTCATAAAATTAAAGCAACAAACTTATAGAAATATCTAATTACCGTTTTTCTACCGTTAACGAGGATCCCTTTGGAGAAAAGCCTCTTTAGTTCCTCTTCGGATCTAAAGCTCAGAGGAGTTACTGCAGTCTTGATTATTGCACTATATTCCATTGATAATTCTATCACTTTGTACATTTCTTGAAATTGAAGTGCAATCTCAAGTTTCTCCACAATATGAGTCATCATTGATCGTTGTTCACGAGATTTCTGCAAGCACTGATATGCAATGTCTGAAAATGTTTCCAAAGAACTCGTATCCATTTGTTGCATCAGATCTTGAAAGATAATCTCTTCTAATTTATTTTGTTCATAGTTTTGTTTCCACAAAGGCACTAAAATTTGATATTGACCATTGCTATATTCGAAGCATAATCTGCCACACAATACTTCAAATAAGACCACACCTAAAGAGTATACGTCCGACTCTTTTGTTAGCACGCCCATCTCCAAATACAAGGGGTGGAGGTACCCAAGGGTACCTACAACATCAGAGACATCAGCCGTGTGTTGCTCATTAGCAGGTCCTATTTTCGACAACCCAAAATCAGAAACTTTAGCATTCCAATTCTCATCGAGTAAGATGTTGGAGCTTTTTATATCACGGTGAAGCACTCTTTGTTGCATCCCATTTGGATCATGAAGGTAGCTTAGTACCGCAAGGCATATTTTGAGACGTTGCGTCCATGTGAGAGGACTATCACTTAAATTGACGATCGAGGCTTCCACGGGATGCATGCTCGTACACAAGAATCTTCTCACCACCCTCATCACAAAATCCCAAAAGAGATGCGAGATTTTCATGTGTGTAACGGGAAAGCATCATGATCTCCTTCCGGAACTTGGAGTTTCCTTGACCATATCTACTATCTAGACGCTTAAAAGCAACCATGCTTCGGCCCTTAGAATGAGAGATTTGTCCTCTGTACAGCTTCCCAAATCCACCATTTCCGATAGCTTTGTCGTCAGCAAAGTTGTGAGGGGCTGATTTTATTTATACAGTTGGATTTGAAGATGTTGAAACTCATCGAAGAAGAGATCCATCAATTGTTGATGAAATAATAATATGAGAAAAATTAAATCAAGTGTTTTGAGCAATTGCACTAACCCAAAGCGTAGATCCAAGTCAACCCTCTATTTGTAGTCGTTGTTGTTTTGGTTATGCCTTGAGCCCTCGGTGTTCGATCGAAAGATTGAGAGGGAGTTGACTGTTGATGGCCTTCGTGTACGGCGACCGGCAGCCGGTGTGGTTCTGATGGAGGGACGGAGGGGAGCTAGGGTTAGAGTTTTTATGTTGTGGTGTGGGCTGCGGGGGTTAAAGTCGATGGATGGCTTTGTGAGGTTGGCAGCTCCAGCCCCTGGGGTTTTAATTGTTATTATTTAGCCACTACTTTAATCAAATATATTATGTTTGAGCTTATATTGAAAGTGAATTTATTTGGGTTAATTAATGGGGTGCTTTAAGATTGCTTATTTGAAACAACTTATATTTCTCTGCAAAAATATTTATCAATTTATCTATATATATATATTAAAGGAAAAACCAAGAGTATTGAGGTGGCATCATGAGGATTAAGTATTGAGGTGTTGGTGAATTGTGGTTGATTTTGAGATATCCCACATTGGTGAAGAGTTGAAAGATTTGAATAAGATAAAGTGTATAAGAAAGGTTGATTGGATGCCTTTGTGTCAAATAATAGGGTTTGCCTCATAGGGTTGTCTTTCTTTGGATGACCCTCTTTGAAATTTATAACTATGGTTGGAAAGCAAACAAACCAAATGGTAGAAATTATAGTGCAAAATTAATGATATATATATATATATATATATATATATTAAAGGAAGAACCAAGAGTATTAAGGTGACATCATAAGGATTAAGTATAGAGATGTTGGTGAATTGTGGTTGATTGTGAGATATCCCACATTGATGAAGAGTTGAATATTTGAATAAGATGAAGTGTATAAGAAAGGTGGATTGGATGCCTTTGTGTCAAATAGTGGGGTTTGCCTCATAGGATTGTCTTTCTTTGGATGACCCTTTTTGAAATCTATAACCATGGTTGGAAACCAAACAAACCAAATGGTAGAAATTATAGTGCAAAATTTATTATATTATATTATTATATATCTATATATATATATATATAACAAAACATATTTTTAAACGTATTTATATAAAACATATTAAAAATAACATATTAATAACATATTATAAATTTATTAATTACCAAAAATTTGAATTTTTTTTTTTTACTTGGACCGGCCGTAACCGGTTATGGGACCGGAACCGGGACCGGACGTCTTAACCGGTTACCGGCAAGCTTGACCGGTTATGAAGGATTTCACCGGAACCGGGACCGGTTATGATGGGACCGGTTATGGCACGTTTTTGTCTTGATCGGGACCGGTCGTAACCGGTTAAGGCTCGGCCCGGAACCGATTTTTGGCCACCTCTAATTTGTAGTATATATTAACCATATTTAATCCGTTTAAAACATTAATCTGATAACCGGGTATTCGGTTATAAAAGTTCGGATGATTTTTGAAAGATGATGGTAAGTGGGGGGATTTGATTTTTATGTATGTGCTTAAATGTTTAAAATAATCCCCACCGCCTAAATGTTATTATATATGAGATATTTGTTTTATCTCATGCGAGAGTGTGATTAATTATTTAAAAAAAAAACCCTCCACCGCCTCTTATGGTTTAGAGAAAAGTATTGGATAAGATAATTATCTTAGCTCATTGATTTTGGTCGTATTTCAAAGGAAAGTTTCCTTTATTTTTATGTGATTTTACATTGTTTAAACACAACCCGATCAACCCGAACGGGTTGGGTTGGGTTGGGTTGAAATTTTGTTTGGATTGGGTTGGGTTGAAAATTTTCAAACCGCCAACATTGGGTTGGGTTGTTAAAACGGCTCCAAACTGATCAACCCGGGCTGTAAGCACCCCTACTCCTACTACATGTTAAAGACAAGAAAAAGTTATGCAGTTGCTCCCTTATGTTAGAAAATTCTTTTCATTTTCTATCTATTATTCATTACTAAAATGGTATTTACATAATTCAACGACATACATCTCGATTTTGATATTTCATTTTTTTTTGTTTAAGTCGATGTTATAATACGGTTTTATTGGTTTTGAGAAAACCATAATGTTTTTATTTTTGAATAAAATATAAATATGAGGATATCATAAAAAAATTAAAGAAAGAATATTGATATTAGTACCAAACTAACTATTTAAAATTTTTTATTTTTTGTATATTTCTTTAACTTATTTTTTTTATTTTTGGTTTAATAATATAATTTTTCTATAAAGATAATGATTAATTATTTTGTTAGAATTCAATAATTATCCTAATTATATTTTAGATTTTTTATATTTAAATGAGATGTTAATCCTCTATTTGATTATATTTATCTGCAGTTAGTTACACGAATTCAAATATAAAACTTTAATAAGTTGTACTTATGTACAATTTACTTGCAATCTTAGATTTTAAATAATATGTATCAATAAACAGTACGTCATGCATAAAAATGGTTTTTAAGAGTTTTTGTCAAATGTTTTATAATATAGTATAAATAACTCAATGATTATATTATGATCCAACTTTATTTGTATTTTAATTATTTTTTTTTAGTTTTATTTGCATTATTAATAATAGTTTTTTGGGCTTTGCGTTTTGTTTTCTTGGGACTCTTTTCTTTATTCTCCTTTCTAATCTACTATTTCCTAAATGTTTTCACACCTATATTTCTTTGTACTCTTGAGACTCTTTTTCATAATTACTATGGTGGGTGGGTCCCATCTAATAATTGCGTCGACTCCACATATTCTACCTGTTTGTTCTAACAAGTCGTAACTCTTAAGGTAGTGAAGTTGGTTCACACATTCTAGCATTTCCAAAGGAGATGGATGTTCCCACGTAAAGTATATGGATGAAAATTGTATGCTCAAGTAAAGATATATAATTCAAAGTCAACCTCAGAACAATGGAAATTATTCTTGTAGCCATTCATGAAAGGATTGAAAACACAACCATACAATTCAAAAGTGTGTTTCCTTTTACCCCTTCAACTTTACGTATAATTTTTTTTTTTCAATCTTATACTTTCAAAATTACGTATAATTCCATGAATTTTCTGACTCTCCATGAGGCAAAGCATTTGTGCCTGCCAGATAAGGTACTTGCAGTCACCAGAAAGCTTCACGGAAACAAAGTTGGAGACATTAAGGGGATGTCTGTGGTAAGCGATTACCGTTATAAGTCAACATTATAATTTAGTTTATCGATAAGATCGTAGTACATCAAAGTAGAATGATATGCAACAATTTACTTGGTAAACACTTACTCGTGTAAGAGTCGTTATATTCGCTTACCGAGTAAGACTCTCTATCCTTATGATCACTCTTATCGGTTAAGATTCTTGGGTCTTGTCGTGTTCATGCATACAAGTACCTCAAGTCCTCTGAATGTGCAGAAACATCAAGCGCATTAGATAAATCTGCCATCTCCACACCCTTGTATCATCTATCATCATATTTGGTGATAATTAACTTACATATAAGCATGCCATTTAATATTTAAGTATGAGTGCTTGCATGTTTTTATTACTTATTGTTTTTATCCTTATTTTGTAATTAAATCGTTTGGTGTTGAATAAAAATGGTATTAGGGTTTCAACTCTTTTACCCTAAGCTTGGTTTCCTTTTATTATTATTTCCTTGCATTAGTTTTATGTCTGTATATGAGAATTGAATTTGTAAAGTTGAATAAATCTTGATGAAATTTTTACATCCTGTTGCATTGTACGGGTACATAAGTGTAAGTTATATCATAATTAAAATCTTCTCTAACAGAACCACCAAAGCTTCAAATTGTTAAAACTCACGACTCCTGCCGCATTGCGCGGATATACAACTAGTATATATATATATATATATATATCAATTATAATCAATTTTTTATTAAATTTAATTGTTATGTAAATAAAAACATACATGTTATTATATTCAAGTGTCATGTAAATAAAATGATTAGTAAAATTTTAAATTTAGAAAAAAATATAAAAGATGAAAATAAAAAAGAACTCTAAAATCCCAACAAAAGTCGAAAGAGGATGTATGATTAGTCTTCTTGTAATAAATCTGAAAAAAAGAAATAACAATTGAAAGATAATATATTGAAGTTTGTCGAGGTTATATCATAGATTTTTAATACATACATTTAAAATTCAATTATCGAACTGTTGTTGTCATCAAAACTCTATAACCACTGTCAAGAAGAAACCCTCAATTTCATTGAAAAAACTTGACCAAAAAAAATGAACTCTAAAATCCGAACAAAAATCAAGAATAATACCTAAATTAGTATTCTCATCGTAAACCTGAAAATGATTTTGTTAAATAATAAGAGTTTATAAAACGAAAGAACAAATCAAATGATAGGGAGAGAAAATAAAAGATTATCTGAAAAAAGATTTTGTTGAAGAATAAGGGTTTGTAACATGAATAATACATCTAGTGATATAGAGGAAGAATAACACCTAAATTAGTATTTTCATAATAAACCTACAAAATCATCTTGTTGAATAATAATAGTTTATAAAATGAAATAAGAAATCAAATGATGGAGAGAGCGAAAAAAGTTTACCTAAAAAAAAGATTTTGTTGAATAGTTATGGTTTGTGAAATGAAGAATATATCAAATGATAGAGAGGAAGAAAAAAAGGTTTATTGATGGACAAATCATGAAGGAACACATGGAAAGGTTTGGAGATTTCACCTCCAAGAATGAAGACAAAAAGGTTGGAGGTTAAACTTTATAAAATTACCAAAACAACCTTATCCTAACGAATTTCATGTTTTAAATATAGGGATTGAAAAGTCTTTTACATATAAAATATTTTAAAAAATCAAAAATTTAAGAGAAAAGAAAGATAAATTTCTAATGTTTAGAGGATGACACCTCATTGTGTTTGACTTATCCTTTAAAAAAAAACTTCAAAATCTCAATAAAACTCAAAAGGGATGCATGTTGTAATAATTTTCTTAAAGTATACTTGAAAAATGATAATCATTAAAAAAAAAAAGACATGTTGAGACTATATCATAGTTTGTAATACTTTCATGATTCCATCATCAGACCATTGTTGCCATATGATTTCATTATCAGACCATTATTGCCATCAAAACTCTGAAAGCGTTGTCCCACCTTTTTTGCCATTCAACA